CATCGAATAACCAGGGCAACCCCACCCCACAAAGGCCTCTGGAAGGGCAGTTCGGGCCTTAGCATGTTTTAGAAGCCCCTCAGGCACCTCTGTGTGTGGCCAGGGTTGAAAACCACAGTGCAAACCACTGTTGCTTCTGGAGAAGACAACAGCCCTTGAGTCCAGCCACCCCAGACCTGTTCCTCAGCTTCAGCCCCACCCACCAAGTCATCTTAGCCCAGGTCTCTATTTTACAAGTTAATATTCATTTCATCACATTTAATTAACACAGGGAGACTAGAGCTGTCTCAGCCTCACACCCAGCTAGCAGGAGCCCGTGCTCCCTCGAAGTTCAATCACAGCGCTGTCTTGCGCAATTAGCTTCCTTCCCCCAGATCTGAAGGGTCTGTGCCCATAAATATCAACCAATTTTATTGATATTTGTAATTAAAACCACCAAACGGGTCACACTTGATTGAACAAGTTTGCAACACATACATCCATAATGGGAACATGAGCATATTTGTATGTGACATTTGATAGATAATAATCCTAGGCATTTCTCATTTTCAGAACATCCTGTGGGTACCAGCTAATTAAGCCTCATATGTCTCCTGGGACAGAGGGTGTTATTCAGACACACCCCTTTGATTGTCTTTGTTCCTGAAGTTTCAGAGAAACCAAGGGCCAGGAAAGTAGGGACCAGGCTAAAGACCACAGAGAGAAGATGGCACAGGCACTAGGTCTGACCGTGCCAACTTCTTAAGTTTCTTCTCCTCATAGCTTCTGTCTGTAGCCTTCAAGGAAGCTGGTGTTTTTAAAAACCCAATGGCAACAAGAAGGAGCTCCAAGCCTCCCCAGAGGCTCCAAGTCTATCTCTCTAAAGTTCAACCTCATGACCCAGTTGGGCCTTCCATCCCAAAAATTAGGTGGACAAAGCCTGACTCATCCGTTAGTTCAAATCTTGTGGGGTGGGAGTGAGAGCTGCCACCACCCACCAGCACCATGATCCCATCTCTGTGTTGGCCCAGTTGTAGCTGTGCCCACAGGTTATTTGGGATCCTAACTTTTTCTATGTGTGTCCAAAAGAATTATCTGTGAGCTGAGGGCAGATCCAGACCACAGCACTGCTCACAGACCATAAGTGGAGCAGAAACGTTTGCCATTCATGGGTCCAGCAGAGGGTCAGTTATCAAATCAGCCTCCCTCTCATTTTCCCTTTGCTCACACATACCCAGGGAGATTAAGACCTTTCCCCAAATCCCCTAACGGCATTCTTACAAGAAACAATCAGTCTTCAAGTGAGTTACAAGGAAACCATTCTATCCCAAAAGGCAGCCTTCTGAGTGGTTGGGCAGGAAGACTATTTCTCTTGTGATCTAGAATAAATCCCTTCATTTCCAAACCCCTCAAGGGTAGAAGGGAATTCCAGGGGGGAGCAGGAAGAATGGGTGGAGAGAGACAGCATGAAGACAGATGAAAACAGACTACCAGGCAACGTTAGAGTGAGGACGTTTTTACTGTGTTATAATTTAGGCCACACTTGCCTCCAAAAATGATTTGAGACAGTTACAACAATAGGCACATATCCAGTAAGGCCATTAAACTAGAAATAAGGAGGACACATAAATGTCTGCAGAGAATGACACTGAGGTGGTCATCATTCCCATTATCCCAAAAGTTCAGGTAGGAACAGTGTGTTTAAATAAGCACAAGGTGCTTCACTGATCATCAAGACAACTAACTCAATTATTCAAAGACTAATGATCCAATTTGTGTTTAATCTGGCCCTGTGGCACCAGCCCTTTCTCTCTTCTGCTGCCTATGAAGAATTTCACTGTTCAACATGTATCTAACCAAACATGGTCATGAAAAGGCATGGAATCCGAGAACTTCACAGTTGGAAAGGACTTTCCACAATCACTTAAGAAGGCGTTTTCCTAAGTTTAGGAGTTCTTTTTAGAGCTGCTATATCAGAAAGTTGTGCATCAGAAACTTGAATTCCTCTAAATACAGGGGGCTTGCTACCTCATGAGGTATTTTTTTTTCCTGAGAGTCTATTTTACTGTTACACAATTTGAGTTATTAGAAGGCTCTTTCTTGTATAAAGACAAAATCCACCCCTTGGAGAAATCAAGCAGTGATTCCAAACCTAGTTGATCTTCAAAATTATCTGAGATGCTTTTGAAAAGACATCCTGGTGGGATCATAAATTAGTACACCCCTAGAGAAAACAGTATGGCATTATCTGCTATAGCTGAATGTACACACACCGATAGCCCTACAATTCTACTCTCAGGTATACACCCAACATAAATATTTGCACATGCACACCAGGAGACCAGTACAAAAACATTCTCAGCAGCATTAGTCACACTAGCCAAAAACTGCAAACAACCAAAATGTCCATCAACGGTAGAATGGGTAAACTTGATGCATTCAGAAAATTGAACATTTCCAGAGCGGAGCTGCCCAAAAGCATTTTCTGTAATGACGGAAATTGTCTGTTCCACAGTGTTCAAGATGGTAGCCATTTGACACACATGACTGTTGAGCACTTGAAATGTAGGTAGTGCAAGAGAAGAACTGAATTTTGAATTTGATTTAATTTTAACCCATTTAAATTTAAATAGCCACTTGCCCCTAGTGACTACTGTACTGGATAACACAGTGTATTAGAACAGTGAAAAAGAGCAAACTGTAGCTATATACAATAACATGGATGAATTTCATCCAGTAATAGAAACCAGACCCCCCAAAAATACATACTATATGATTACATTTATGAGAAGTTCAAAAATAGGTAAAATAATACTAAACATTTAGGGATGAAAGTTAAACCTCGGGGTTTAGGGGTGCATGCTTAAGTTGCAAAACTTTGGGTAGGAAGGAAAAGGCAGGGCCATGGGGGAGCTTCTGGAGACTGGGCATGTCCTATTTCTTAGCTGTGTGGTGATGTCACTTTGTCATAAATCATCAAGGTATCATTTTTGTTTGGGGTGCTTATCTATATGTGCTTTATATTTCACAATTTAAAAATGATTAAAATACAAATTATCTTTGCAACTTTTCTGTAAATCTAAAATTATCCCCAATTAAGTGTTTATTTTTTAAAAAAAATACAGATTAAGTGCTTCACTTCAGATTTGTTGTGTCAGTTTCAAGAAAAGCGGCCCTGGAATTCATATTTTTCAAAAGCTCCAGATTACTTTTCTTGCACAGCCTATTGGGAAAACATTGCTGCCTCCTCTATGTGGAGCCTTTTCCCCAAGACTGAATGTCCCCCAGAATCTTCTTCTGTTCCTAGGATGCTCCTGTTTCCACTCTCTAAACACTGGGGGTTCTCAGGGGGCTCACTGTGGTAGATAATCACCCACTAATGCTGCCTGGGCCTCAGCATGGTTTTGTAGCTGCATCCTTCCACACAAGCCAGTGCCAACCTAGCTGCTCACCACTTGCCTTGAGAGCTGGAGAATGAGCCACCAAAGATGAATGAGGGTGAGGTGAAAACTAGTGGTTACAATGAGTGTTAAGAATCCCATTTGGGGGCGCCTGGGTGGCGCAGTCGGTTAAGCGTCCGACTTCAGCCAGGTCACGATCTCACGGTCCGTGAGTTCGAGCCCCGCATCAGGCTCTGGGCTGATGGCTCGGAGCCTGGAGCCTGTTTCCGATTCTGTGTCTCCCTCTCTCTCTGCCCCTCCCCCGTTCATGCTCTGTCTCTCTCTGTCCCAAAAATAAATAAACGTTGGAAAAAAAAAAAAAAAGAATCCCATTTGTTGCCATGTCCTGGGACTCAGTTGACCACAGACAATGGTGCATGTTAGGATGCAAGTCTTTGGCAGGTCCATTGAGTGGGCCAACATCTGCAATGTGCTCATTTCTCCTATCAGTCTGCTTGACCCTTTCCACCCTTTCCTTCCTGTATTCTGTAAGCTGCCTCCTACAAGCCCTTGTATAAGACGTGCTTCTCCCTAGTCAGACCTAGCAAAGCCAGGATCACTGAAGTTTCCTCCACCTCTCTTTTCCTCTTGGAAAGTCAAGTCTTAAGTATCAACAATGCAAGGTTGATCGGGAAAGGGAAGAGAGAGGGTTTGACAGAGCGGGAGTCAATGAGTTTACACCAGGAAGTTAGGAGATGTAGGCATTGAATAATCATTTATCTCATGTGACCCCCACATTAGCTCTGAAGCAGGCTGGCAGGGCCACTGCTCTGCACAACTCCAGGGACTCCACGGGCAACATAGTCACATGCGTCCTAGAGTCTTGGGTTGTGCAGTGCCCAGCCTGTGCAGCCATCTATGGCAACTCTGTAGGCTGGGTAGGTTTTCTTATTCCCATTTTTAGAGGAAGAAACTGAGGCCAGGAGAAGCAGTGGGATTCATACTCACATCTCTTGGCCACAGCCCTGTGGCTAGCACACCAATGGTTTCTGTCAACGTAATAGTCCTTAAAGGCATAAAGATGCCCCATAAACACCCACTGGGAAGTGGGCAGGGACTCACCTTCTCTAGGAATAGAGAAGGACCCATATAATGCCAAGGAAGCAGGCCTTCAGCCATCACAGTATCCTCCATGTCTAGTTTCCAAAAAACATAGCAGGAGGCCAGTCAAGCTTAGAGCATCAAGAAAAGAGGCCGTGGAAGGCATGGGGAGAGAAAGCCAGACTTCACCTGCATGAACACATTCAGTGAAGGCAGAGCATAATTAAGCCTAATTGTGTAAGCCCTGCCATGCTTTCGAGAGAGAGGGATGCCAAGGTCTCCAGTTATCTTCCGTTCTGTGCAGCCCGCATATCCCCACCCGAAGGTCACCCTCATTAACGCTGCCAAAAAAAGCCATCCCTCTGCACATCCAGTTGTTGCACTAATGGGCCCTTCTACCTCTGCCCAGGCATATTAGCTGCATGAATGCACATGTGTCTGCGCATCTGTGGGTGTGCACATCCGTGTGGGGTCTGTGTGAGTGCGTGTGCCTCTGGAACTGGACCTGTTTCATTTTCTTCTGGTATTTTACGTACTTACACAGTCAAAATTAATGGAATCAGTTGAGATTCAGATGACATCACACTGGTGACTCACATCTTGACAGATGGATGGGTTTCCCCCCTCTGCATTGCTTTCAAGGTAACCTTGATTTGTCACACAGCCACTGGGGAATGTCAGGAAGCAGGATTTTTTTAATAGACATTTGACTTGGCCATCCACAGTTAGCAATCCGAGCCTGCGGGGGGAACAGGGTAGAGAGGAGTCAAGGAGCAAAGCCACGGCTAGTCCTCTCCAGGGACCGAAGGGTGAGCTAATTAGTGGAGTCCACCCCTGAGCCGGTCAGTTACTGAGCCACCCATCACTCCTACAGAGGTGGGGACATCCAAGGGCCAATCTGCAGACTGCACTGCTCTTGCTCCCTGGAAGTAACCTTTCTTCAGCAACATTTTTATTGAGCACCCTTTCCTATTGGAACATAAACAGGTATGGAGGGGTAATAAATAGTAAGAGCAGCTGTAAAACAGTGCAACAATAGAACAGGGTTGCAATTATGTAATCATTTCCGCTACTAGAATTTCTTTGAGGGAAATTTTCATTGGGAAAATGCAAAGGAGAGAGGATGATGACTCACAGCCTTTTAAGACTCAACCCGCCCCAGATTGTGTGAGTCCAGAGGTCAGACTGACATGGCTGGATGACTTCTAATTGTCAAGTCCAAGGGTATCAGCAAAGATCTCTTCCTATTTAGCATTTTTCCATCTTCATATCAGTTCCTTCCTCTGCCTGGGGTTTGGGGAGATATTTCTTCCTAAAACATTAACTGCAAACACCAGGCCAAGTTAAACCAAGCAATCTAGATTGTTACAAGCAAGTAGCTCGCTCATTTTTCTAACAGCCTGGCTCTGAAAGCAGATCCTGAGTATGCACCGAATGGGCAAGTGGTCAGCCTTTGTCATGCTTTGGGGCAGGCAAGTTTGCCCTCAGCACCAGGTAGACAAGACACTTAGACTTCCAGAACTAGAAACTTCTTAGCAACCATCCTAACCAGTCTTTTTCTCATTGAGTGGTGAGTGAAGAATAAGTTCCTGAAACAACCAACACAGGGTTCTTCCTCAATTACTGTTCCACATTCTTTAAGCTCTCCATCTACCTAACAGAAATGATAATGCTCAGCATTTACAAAGTGTAAGGAGCTCCCTCTTGCAAATCCAGAAGAATTCCAAACCCTGCTTTACTACCATGGCAGGGAAATCATGTGAAGATGAGCCCCACAGGATACCTACAAGGTCCAAGGAACATGTCTGTATCACATGCAAGACCTCTGACCTCAGCAGAAAGTCTACATGCCTGCCCTTGGACAGCTGGCTCCATCAGTCCACCTGCATCTGATGATGTTCTATCACTCTGGGGAAAGACCTCAGTGTCTGCTCTTTCCCTAGTGAACATCATGGCCAGCAAGGCAGGTCTTCCCACCCTTTGGTCACCACCTCTCACCACCTCACTCCTAACCCCATGCCACATGAGCATCTGCCTCTCTGTTGGCTCAGGACCTCCAATCCCAAACCACCCCCATTCCATCCCCCCTGGACCACACTCCATTCTCTTCACCTAGGCTCATCCCACAGGTCAAAATCCCACTCTTTTGAAGATCCATCTCAAGCACCGTGTCCTCTAGGAAGCCTTCCTTAGTTCCCCCTTTGGAGTATGTATTTTCTCTCTCCTTGTGTTTCAACCACTTATGCCCCAAGTATCTTGTGATGAGTGGCTCTTCCAGGCAAAAATGAGTCACTCCATGATTGCATTCTTAAAGGGAAGCTTCTGACCTGGCCCAGCTGTCTTCGGAGGCACCAGAAACTTGAGTGTGATAGTCAGTAGCAACCAACCAGGTCAGATTCATATACAGCAACATACATATAGTGCTTGCACTTAGGATTTTATGAAAATGGAAAATGGATTGGTCAAAAGCAAAGCCATGTAACGCATGAGGGGAAACTACACTCATGCACAACACACACCTGTCTACAGGAAACCATAAGGCCATGTGGCAGTTCAGATGGCAGCCTCCACTTCCTCCACCCTTAGGAGCTGGGAGTAGCCCCAATTGATAGTAGTTGAGGAAGAAGTCTGTCCACTTAGATTCTCTTCTGCCCATGCAGGGCTGCCCTCTGAGCCCTCTCTCCTCAGAGCCCTTAATGTGTGACCCATTCAGATTTGTTCTCAGCCTCAGTATTTGACCAAAGCACCACCCCCACCCCCCACAAGGAACCCTTGTCAGGTGTGCTTTCCTTGATATTCTTTGCAAATGACTGGCTTCCTGCTTTACTTGGAGAGGAATGGCCATTTGATGCTGTAGCTCCCTATCTCTCTTAACAAGAGATCTCTGTCTGCATTTCTCTTCAGGAGCAACATCGTAAGAGCAGTTAAACTTGGTTTGGAAATAACTCATTCCTTGGACTCCAGGCTAGGAATCTATGCCTAGTAATCTATTCCCCATTCTGCAGTGCGCTAATGTCCCCCATGCCACATCTTACACGCCTCCACAGATGCCAGAGCCAGTCAGCACCATTGTGTGTCACCCCAGGGCAAACAGGAAGTTAGTTACAACAGCACCAAGCATGTTCTACCTTAAATTTAAAAAAACAATAATTATAGCAATGATGATAAAGAGTATCCATACTCTCACCATTTATAGACAAACTGTACTACCATCAGATCTTTACATTCTCAAAACAGTTCTGTGAAGGAAGAAGGCATCAGCACTCCCATTTTACAGGTGACAAAACTAAGGCCAGAGAGGTTAACATAACCTACACATGATCACATAGCAAGTGGAAGAATTAGAATGTAAATTTTTGTGTCTTCAAATCATTGATACCACACTGCTCTCTCTCTCTCTGCAGCTTCCTGAATGTCTCTTTCCTCCACATTACAAAGCTCCCAAGTAGACCCACACACACTGGCCATCTCTCCCCAGTTCTATCCCTCAGAGCATGAGGAGTCTCTATCTCTTTTAATCCAAACCTAATTCTATAACATTTACCTAGGACTTGTTACAGGGCCGCCTGGGGCACCGTGGGACTCACAACTTGGTTGTAAGGTTCCCAAGGCTCTGGGGCTCCGAATGTTACAGAGGGGAGATAGTTGCAACATAACCTACCAACCTCCAGGGATATTTTAGTTTTGGCCAACAAACCCTAGTACCAGCCCCAAAGAAGGAATTCCCAGTGATGACAATTCAGACTATGGAGGCGGCCAGTTAAGGAGACCTTTGAGACAAGAGTTGCCTTTGGGATGTTTCCAAGTTTGTTTCCCTCCCTTTTGTACCTCAGTCCACAGGCTAGAGCCCCCAAACTGCAAGCACACCATGGAAGGATCCGCATGCACAGCAGCCAGCCCTAGCACTCTTTATCCCTACCACACAGTCGTAGTGTCCAGTGACCCTAAAGCTTACGCTGCCAGAATCCAGAAGGATCCTCAGAGGCTGGGCATCTAAGAAAGCTCCCTCCAAGGGCAAGCAGGACATCCAGCAGGTGCCCTCCCTCCCTGCAGTGCCTGCCAACAGCTCAGTCTTCTGATTACAGGAAGGAGCTGCCTCCTCCTGTTTCCCGACCAGAGCCCTCCTCTGACCCTAATAACAGGGCTGTTGAAATCAGCAATTCCATTTTATACAGCCAGAACCACACAGACCAGAATCAGCAGGCCAACCACAGAGCCGCATTCAGCAAGGGCAGGTAAGATTTAAGGAAAGAAATACCAGAGCATGGGAAATGGGTAGGCAGTCAGCTACAAACTTGATTTCATAATGTCCAAAGCAAATGCTGATCAGTGTTGTGCTCCTTAATAATAAGACCAACATTTCAGCTGATTTTATCACTCTCTGTGATGATTCTGTCCTTTTCCAAATTTATCATTTACACCCACCTGCTCCTCACAGCAATCCTGTAAGGCAAACATCATTACTATGTTCCTAGAAATGCAGTGCAGCAATGAGAAGAGCACAGGCCTTAGAGTCGGAGCCTGGGTTTCACTCCTGATTCTGTCTTTATACTGGGCCACTCTGCCTCCCAGATAATAGAAACCTCCAGCCTGGGGAACAGTTTCACAGGAAATTAATATAAGGACTATGAGAAATAAGCCTTTAAAAATGGTGCATTGAGGGCGCCTGGGTGGCTCAGTCAGTTGAGCTTCCAACTTCGGCTCAGGTCATGATCTCATGGTTCGTGAGTTAAAGCCCCATGTCGGGTTCTGCACCCTGCTTGGGGTTCTCCCTTTCTCCCTCTCTCTTCTCTGCCCCTCCCCAACTTGCACACACTCTCATTTTTCTCTCTTTCAACATAAATAAATAAACTTAAAAAAACGGTGCATTCAGCAGAGCCTTTCAAGCTGAGGGTAAAAAATAAGATTTTATTCTTAAATAAGCCCTACACCTAACATGGGACTCAAACTTACAACCCTGAGATCAAGAGTCACATGCTCCATGGACTGAGCCACACAGGAGCCCTTCTGAAAAATTTTTAAGTACCCCACTATACACCAGTTAAATTACGATCTCTGAGGGGTGGATATTTTTTTAAGTATGTTTTTAAAGCTCCTGGGAAATTCTGATGCACAATGAGCAGAATTAAACAGGTTTCCTTACCTGTAAATTTCCCAGCCTGGCTAATATGCTGTGGATTACTAAGAGGAGATATTTAGATGCAGCATTTCCCAAACTTATCTGACCACGATGTTTTTATTTTTTTTAATTTTTTTTAATGTTTATTTATTTTTGAGACAGAGAGAGACGGAGCATGAACGGGGAGAGGGTCAGAGAGAGAGGGAGACACAGAATCTGAAGCAGGCTCCAGGCCGTCAGCACAGAGCCCAATGCAGGGCTCAAACTCACGGACTGTGAGATCATGACCTGAGCTGAAGTCAGACGCTTTGACTGAGCCACCCAGGCGCCCCGACCACAATTTTTTTAATTGAACATCTTCTACAAGGCACATATGCAGCAGAACACACTTTGGAAAACACTGCTTTTACTGGGTTTTTAGAGTTTCGGTGCATGAGTGGTAACACCTGCTTTGAAATCTTCCCAGGCCAGCGTCATTGCTATGATGCTTAATGTTATAGAGC